GTGAGAAACTTGGGAACTGACGCTGTCTGAAACAGATTCGTTCCAAGCGATTGGCGCCCGGCTATCTGGGTCCGCGTGCTTCCGGCCCTGGAAAACATCCTCTACGGAGCGAACATCAGCAACATTCTGTCTGCTCATCAGAACGTTGTCTTGGACGTGCTGGCGTGGTTGCCTTATGGCATTTGTCACTATGGCGCGCCATTTGTCTGCTCGCTCATCATGTTCATTTTCGGTCCTCCTGGCACGACTCCCCTCTTTGCACGGACTTTCGGTTACATCAGCATGACTGCTGTCGCCATCCAGCTGTTTTTCCCCTGCTCGCCTCCGTGGTACGAGAACCTTTACGGGCTGGCACCGGCCGACTACTCCATGCCGGGTAACCCCGCGGGTCTTGCTCGCATCGACAAGCTCTTCGGAATCGACCTGTACACCTCGGGCTTCAGACAGTCCCCTGTCGTGTTTGGTGCTTTCCCCTCTCTGCACGCTGCGGACTCGACTCTGGCCGCTTTGTTCATGAGCCATGTCTTCCCGCGGCTGAAGCCCTTGTTCGTGACTTACACCCTGTGGATGTGGTGGGCAACCATGTACCTGTCGCACCACTATGCAGTGGATTTGGTCGGTGGTGGCCTCCTGGCCACGGTTGCATTCTACTTCGCCAAGACCCGATTCCTCCCGCGCGTCCAGAGCGACAAGACTTTCCGCTGGGACTATGACTACGTGGAGATCGGAGACTCTGCTCGCGAATATGGCTACGACTTGGCTGCCTACGACGGCGACTTCAATCTTGACAGCGATGAATGGACGGTTGGATCGTCATCCTCCATCTCCTCTGGCTCCCTGAGCCCGGTGGACGATCACTACACCTGGGAAGGAGAGTCTTTGGCTTCGCCCATCGCCGATGTCGAGTCTGGCAGACATATGCTCAGTGCTTAAGCCAGTCGACCACCATTTTGCACCAACCTCCCTGCATATACAGCATCCACTTCTTGCATCTATTTACGAACGGCGTTAGTACATTTGACGACATGCTGGGTTTATTGCATTGAGCCGATTTCGACACATAATATCTTTAATACCGCTTTTTATTTCGCAGACCAGGTCGGATGGTTTCGATTTTCCGTTTTGGATTGGTCACCCTGGATACTGCCATGTTTTATCTCTTCGTCTTGACCTAACTGTACATCATACCGCACACTTTTCTGGGCTGCGTTGCCGCATGATCCTGCAGCCCGACCTCCTCGAAGCTCCGTCGATAATATTAATACCGAAGGCTCAGAGTTGCACGACACCGCGTCCCATCCGGTCGTGCAACTCCTGATGCCTTCGTTGGAGACATTCGCTTTCTACATCTCGCCTGGACAAACCAGGACGACCACACTCGTTTACTTCCTACTTTAGTCTTTCGCTTTTCACCAGCTGGTCGAGCTTTTTACCTTCATCTTCTTTTGCTCGGCCAGGTACATATTTTATCTTCGTGTCGATCGCTCACACCACTGGCGCCTGGGATTGGGAACTCAATGAAGAAAAAGTTGATTGAGGCGCCCAACTTGCTTGCACCTCATTCGCTGTGCTTTCAAGGGATTCAATGCTTTTTTATTTTAATGACCATTGCATTGGCATATAGACAGAGGGGTTATGATGAACCTTTGTATTACGGTCTCTTTTGCGCACCAGAGACCTTTATTGTTTGTTATACGGAGGGCCGTGCTCACGCGGGCTGCTCATTCTCCGGAAAGGGGAACGAAGCCGAAATGAAGCCCGACGCACGCACCCACGAGGAAGGGGACGCGGGAATATAGATGTTGACGGAGGCATCTTTCCCGAACAACACGTGTGCCTGGATTTTGTTGATTCGCTTTGCTATGGAAACACGTCACCCACCCCATCACATCCTACACCTTTTAATTCCGTTCGCACGGGACTACTCTTTTACCTCCTGTATCCCCTAGGTTATGTGGTTTTCTAGTATCAATCGATGCAAGAAAACCATTACTCTACTTTACCGCCCGCTCGCTCCTATGACCTAATTCTTTAATAGCTGCGGCTGCGTGTGACGGGATAAGGGAAGGGGTGTTTGAATGGATGGATGACAGTATCCATTAGCAAAACCTATTCTTAATTATAATCAGGTAGCGTTATGATTTATGAATGCTTGTATCATATATGTTTTTATTTCATTTTCCTCTTTTCTCTTTTCTATTGTATACATTTCATGTTTCTTAGGAACTTCTTGAATGACTACTACGTGCTCCTATTGGAAGTATTTGCCCTTTTTTCCCTTCAGTCTAGCCGTATGTAGCCTAGAAGTAATTCATTATATTAAATTACTATCTTATCTGTCTATACCATGTCGATAAAGATTATATGAGATTAGATCACATGCAAGATTGATTAATGTAATCACAACCTAGTCACTCCACTATACACCCGGGAATAAGTGTAAAATATCTCCCCGGATAGACAGATTACAACTCAAACCCCAACAATAAGAAAATGAACGATACAGAAGATGATCATCATAAGATCCACAAATCTATCTATAATGAACCTAACATACCCCACCACCATCATCTCACACATTTAACATAGGTATATAGAATAGTATAGTATAGTATAGTAGGTACCATGTACTAATAGGTAGGTAATCCCCGATAAAGTCAAGGAAAGAAAAGAAAAAGAGAAAAAAAAAAACGCCCTCTACTCACATTACAATACATCTATCTCATTCATTCATCATCAAAAACCTGTACCCGATCAGCGTACTCCTTAATCCGCGAGACGAACGTCTCTTCGATCTGGTCTCCTTGGCCGCCTGCTACGCGAAGAATAAGATCGTTGAGGGATGCGCGGCCGAGGATGTCGACGTGGTCGCCTATATACTCTCTCATATCAGAAATAATTCTTCCGAAGGGTGGAAAGGGACATGCTAAGTGGGTGGGGGGTTGGGGCATACCTGTATTCGGACCACCACGGGGCGAGAAGCGATCCGGTTCATGCGGCATCTCAAAGACCTTGACCTGCACTCCGGCAGGGTTGTACCGCTTCATGCGCCAGCCCTTGGCGCACATGTAGCCCGTGCTCAGGAGGTTGACGGTGCCGTCGCCCTCGCCCATGAGGACGCCGTGATCGACGCCGTCGTTATTGGTTACTGTCGTGTCGATGCTGACGTTCAGGTTGACCAGGGGGTCACGTTCTTCCTGGTAGTAGTAGCTCCGCTCGGTGGGTTTTCCGACGCCATAGAAGCAGTAGATTTTGAGGTCTGGGGCGAGCGGGAGGCGGGCTTCGAGGGGGTTGAGCCATGTGCGGGGGTTGTTTTCGTTCTCTTCGACCTCGCGGGCTGTGTGAGCCACGCCGTGGGAGTAGCTGCTGAGTACCTGGTCGCGGTACCAGGACTCGGATTCGTCGAAGAGGTAGTTGAGACTTTCGGTGACGGTCATGTTCTTGCTGGTGTGGGAGGAGTTGGTTTCGCGGAAGTTGAGCACAGTGCCGAAGGACTGGGACTGGTCGGGCAGGTCGTCCGGGGCCCAGGTTGCGTTGCCCCAGATGGCTTCGCCGCCCTTGGGAAGCATGCTGCTGATGCCGGGCATGGCGCGGAAGATCTCGGCGCGTTCTTCCTTGGAGAGGAACTTTTCGAGCCCGTAGACGGCGAAGGCGTTGAGTTGGGCGGTGTCGCGCATCTCACCGGAGAGGACGGCCGTTAGGCCCTTCACGGCGCCCAGCATGCATCCGCTGATGTTGATCCAGTTGGCGATGTGGTTGTTGACCCAGTCGCGGCCGCCGGCGCCGTGGTCCGGGTGCTCGACCCATTTGAGGAAGTACAGGACCACCTGTGAACCCATGCTGTGTGACGCGAGGGTGACTTTTTCGCCGCCGACCTGGACGGCGGTCTCGATGTAGGACTTCAGTCGGCTGAAGTACTGGTCGCGGCGCTCGAGGTTGGGGTATGAGAGACGCCAGTCGTAGGCGGCGGTGAAGGCGTTGGTCGGGTCGTAACCAATGGTTGCGAGGTTCTCGAGGATCTTGTTCCAGATCCAGTAGCCGGTGATGAAGAAGTCGGTGGCGTCAAAGCCCTGCGCGGCGCGGAGCTTGATGCCGGGGGGATCCAGGCCGGTTTCCTTATCTAGCATGATATGGTTCTTCCATTCGGTCTTGTCGAGGACCAGTGCGCGCATCATACTCCAACTGCCCCAGAGTCTGCGACGGAAGTACTGGCGGGAGTTTGCGTCGGTGCCCCAGCTCTCGAGGCCGGTCGAGATAACGCCGGGGATCATGACAATGGGGTGTTTGGCGTGGACGCCTTCGGCTTGGAGGTGCAGACCGACGGAGAAGGAGTCGTAGGCGACGGTGTCGCGTTCATGTTGCTGCGCGGGGTGTCAGTATACGGCGGGTCCTATTGATATATCCAAGTCGCTTGATGAGCAATTGGGTCGTACCGTGAATTCCCTGACATCCGAGAGCAATCCCTGAGGCATAACATCCATCAACGACTCCAAGTTCAGATCCATTATGCTATCCAGACTGATCACATCCTGCTGGTTGGCGAAGAGGACAGCCACGAGGACACCAAACAAGCCACCGAGGACGAAGATAAGACCATTGCGCCGTTTACTCCGAGGTTTGGTGACAAACGACTCTCCTTTGGGTTTCTTCTGCGCCGACGCAGTCGAGTCGGGGATGTCGCGGGAGTCGGACGGGGACGGCGATGCGGACGCACCGTCCTTGTCCTTGGCCACACGACGGCGGAGCATGCTGTACTTAGACGACGGAAATCATGTAAGAGGCCGGGAAAGCAAAGAGAAGAAGAATAAGTTCACGTCAAAGCAGAATCATAAGAGAAAGGAGAAAAAAAAGAAGGTTTGAGCCAAAAATAACCGAGTTTGACATGAAGAAAACCGAATCCGTCCCAATTCAGGCACCGCCGGAAAATCACATGTGCGGGACGTCATCACTTCTTTTTATTCTCGGCTTCCCTTTTCTCTCCATTCATGCCCTGCTCTCTCTTCTGATTCGAGTCCTTCATCCTCTCCACAATGGCTTCCACTCCTCCTACTACAGATGCTACCACCACTCCCACAACAACAAATAATACCACTACTGCCACCACCACTACTCCCCTCCGCTATATCCGTTACAATGCCGCCCATGAAGACACCTACGTCCCCGCCATGCGCCAATTAATCTCCAAAGACCTCTCCGAACCCTACAGTATTTATGTCTACCGCTACTTCCTCTACCAATGGGGCGATCTCTGCTTCATGGCCATGGACGACAACAACTCCGAGCTTCAAGCCTCCTCACCAATGGTCGGCGTCGTCGTGAGCAAACTGGAGCCGCATCGCGGGGGCCCCTTACGCGGATACATCGCCATGTTAGCCGTGCGCGAGGAGTATCGGGGCCAGGGGATAGCCACGAAATTGGCTCGTATGGCGATTGATGCTATGGTGGACAGAGGGGCAGATGAGGTCAATCCCTACCTCCGAGTTCCCCATAGCTAAATGCATGTGCACGTTCCACTAACGATCCATCGATTGCAGATCGTGCTTGAAACCGAAACCACCAACACCGCCGCGATAAAGCTCTACGAGCGACTCGGGTTCCTGCGGAGTAAGCGTCTGCATCGGTACTATTTGAATGGCAACTCGGCGTATCGGCTTGTGCTGTACTTGAAGGAAGGGGTTGGGTCGATGCGGACGAATTTGGATCCGTATGCTCAGCAAACAGGGCCGCCTTACCCCTTGATTGAGGATAGAACGGACACGGTGGTGACCGCGCCGGAGCCGGCGTTGACGCATGAAAATGGGAAGTGGTAGAGGTTATATCTACCCTACCTTCGCTCTTTTTGGATACCTTTCCCCCTTTCTTCCTTCTTGGATGGATGTGAATGACTGTAATGACTATGCTATGCTATGTTATGCTATGATGAAGATATATATGTGGAATTGTTGGTCTGGTTTGGTCTGCTTGCATTGCATTGCATGTGTGCGGGGTTAGGTTGTGGATTATTATAGATACAATCTATTGCTGTTGGGTTTCTATATGGTGGGGTGGTTCCAGGTCTATGTACAGAGTGTTATGTGATGTGATGTGGGGTGGACGGGAGGGAGGGCATAATGTACAAGATGTGTATATATAACAGGGCCATGGTGAAGCCACAATCGAGCAAATAACAAGGGAACAGATCAAGCCGGATACATCGACTTCCTCACCGGCACGCGAATGGCATTCTGGACCAGCCAGTGTACCGGCCGCGGCACCTTCCGCCACTCTTGATCCAAGACCGAGGCGGCCTCCAACATAATCAGCAGAGGAAACTGCGGGCGATGCCAGGAACCGATCTCGATATCATGCTGCGTGAGCGCAGAGGCCACTTGGATCTGCTGCTCCCGCTCTTCGCCGCTGGGCTTGTAGCCTGAACTCAAATAGGCGATGGGGTTGGTGCGATACTCCCGGGGTAGTTTGTCGAGCACGGTGGTCTGGAGCTTATGGTCGGGGCGGTGCAGATCCAGTCCCACGATGACTTTGCCCGCACTCACATCCCAGATCGTGTGGACGTTGGTCTCAGGCTTTCGAGGCACATTGCGGATCAAGGATGTCACGACGGTGCGCTTCATCTTGTATGTCACGTTTCCGGACATGCACGCGTACCTCCAAAGAACCCGGCAGATGTTGTAGTATTGGCCCTTGAAGGCGACCAGGAAGAGTCGCTCCCATGCGTGCCGTTCGAGCTTCGTTTCGGGGCGCTCTAGGCATCGGAAGAGATACCGCAGAGCGGTGGGCATGTCTGCTCGGAAAAGAGAGAGAATCTGGGTGATGGTAGCACTGTTGAAGGTTAGGTCGTTCTGCTTGCAGATGTCGAATAACCGGTCCAGGGCAGCAAAGTCTTTCAGCCGGACAATGACACCGAACATCTGGCTGATCAAAGATGGAGCGAAACAGCTATCTCCGCAAGAGTCGGCGGTCTGCCTGATGAATGAATCCACACTCTTGCCACTTTCCAAGTGTGCTCGGAACGTATTCGGCAGGGTCAGATGTAGCGCCGTCCGCATCGCACCCATATTCTCCAGGTATCCGCGCTGCAGCATATACGTGACGAGATCTGCTTTCGCCTTGGGGGCAACCAGACAATCAAGCAGGGTGAGCCATGTGTTGGGGTCCGGCCGAATGCTCAGTCGAGACATGGCCAGCAAGAACTGACGGAAGAAGCGGAGGTCTTGCCTCTTAGCCGCAGACTTCAGGAGGATATTAAAGGTATCCACCGTCGCAAGGTGTTCGGACTTGAGGAAGATGTCGCGGGCGGCGTTCAGAAACTCATGGTCGAGCAGATATGACAGCGCTCGATTCAGCGCCGCCGTCGACATAAAGCTGGAATATGCCTCATTCCGGAACAGCTGCACAAGGGCCCGCGCCACTTGCTTCTGGTGCGAATAGGGAATCTTCGAGTTATACGAAGGTTTCGACCTCGTCAATTCCTCCACATGTTCCGCGAAGTCCCTAATCCCAGACAAATTCTTCCCAGCAGGTAGAACCATATGCAACTTCGCGGCCTGCTTGACAGCCGACTGTATATCCCATACACCTCGAACCAACGGCACGGGCGCACCCTGACGCTTCAGCGCTTCAATAGACGGGATGATCGGGAAAAGCGGGATTTGGATATCGACCAGAGGATCACTCTGCTCCTGCAGTCTCCTCGCCTGCGCAATCCTATCGCTGACCAACTCAACCACCCGCTCCGAGCCAGACAGAATCACTCTTCGAAACCGACCCTGGCTCTGCAACGGACGCAGCACATGCACCTTGCACCCATTATGCACCGGCACATACCAGACATTCTCCTTCAACGCCATGTCCGTGACGCCGGCCAACAGCGCGATCGTCTCCTCCGGCACGAGCAATTCCTTCTGCTTGACACCCTTCTTCGCCCAGACATGCGTATCCTCATGCATCTCCTCCAACATCTCCCGAATCTTCGTCCACTTATTCCACTGGTTATTCTTCGCCTTATCACGACCCTGACTCTGCTTCGTCAAAAACAGCCGATATCTCAACTTCCGTCGGTCGCGGTGCGATAGTCGCTTCAGCGCAATAGCGGGCGTTTCACCAGTAGATGATCTCACACCCTTCCGGCCCATCGTCGGCTGCACAGGTCGCGTCTGTAAATCGGAGAAGATATTGAAGACGTGTCGCTCGCTCTTCACCTCGGTTTCCGGGTCATTGTCTAATTGGTTATAGATGGATACTGGTGGTCCGGTATCGGCATTTTCTTCACCACGCTTCCCTTTCTGCGGAGCCGCTGCTGACTTCCCCTGCTCAGGCGGAACAACATCCTGCTTCACCTCCGTCGCCGTCGTCGAAACCCACCGTCTCGACGAGCTCCCAAACGAGAGCTTCCGTCCCGCCGGTGGCGGCTTCGCTACCGTCCTCCTCCGAGCAGTAGCGTTATATACATTCCCATTTCCACACGACGAAGGACCTGACGACGAGGAAACAAGTCTCCGGTGTTGTCGTACAGCCGAACCCACCCAGCGAGGGTACAAGAATAGGAGAGGTTCTTCGGGACTAGCCGCGACGGTGTCTAAGACGGTAGATAGACTACGTCTTTTCAGACACGGTCGACCACGAGATAACATGTGGGATCGGAGTGACACACCAACCAAGCACGGGGGGAGGTGGAACTTGGGAGGCGTGGTGGCCGGGGTCGTGGTCGTAGAGAGATCGGAATGACCGAGGGAAGAAGAGGCAGGGGAGCTTCGGAGCCAAAAAAGTTATTATTACTGTTAGTTAAGTTAGGTGTTGGGTTGGGGTGGTTTGCCGGGGTTGGTAGGCGGTAGGTAGGCGGTCGTGGTTGGCATTTTTACCGCACCTCCGCGGTGCCAAGCATTTACTCCGTATACTGACTGCTCTTTGAGATGACTTATATGATATGAATACATTTTAACAATAAACAGATGCATAATAATACAGCTCCTACGCTAACCAAGCAATACTAACCCACCCCAAAACTCCAACCCCATCCAGACAGAACACCAAAATCAAGAAGAATACTGAAAAATATGCCCTTCTCTACCCACCTCCGCCTCCTTAGGAATCCCCTTAATCTCCCCACCATCATCCATCGACTTGAACTCGAACCGACCAGAGTATCTCGCCAACAGACTCCCGCGCTTCGAAACGGGTGTCAAATCCAGCATCTCCATGCTCGATTTCCGGTTCTCGGTGCGCAGGACACCCGGGCCCGTGAGATGGCGTCTAGCTGTTTCGGTGGCCTTTCGGAGATGATCCAGCTTGCGCTGCAGCTCGGTGGCTTCGTTTTCCCCGCTGGATGAGGAGAGTTGTTGGGAGAGAGACTCGACGACGTCGGTGAGGTGGAGGACGAAGTGCCAGCGGGAGGCTTGGAAGACGAACATGGACATGATTTCGGGGATCTGGATATTCATGAGATATCACAATTAGCATATTGCTCCTGCTGAATGGGATATCTGCAGGGAACGGGTGATGGTATTGGGGGGGGGGACTACCTTCTCATCCAAATAAAACAACTCCTCCCCGCCTTCGTCGACGAACCGATCCAACGCATCCACCTTTTCGCGATCCACAATCGCTATTCTCAACGCGTGCATCAACGCCGGGATATTCGCTATTTCCTCTATCGCCGCCCCTTCCTCCTCCATCTCCCTTGAAGTCGTCGCAGTCGTGGTCCGACCCAAACTCGTAGCCCCATACCCACCCCCACCGACCTCACTAACCGGCCTCTTCTTCTTCTTCCCCGAGTGAATCGTGAAATAATCCTCATTCAACCTATGCGCCATCTCCAACTCCGTCCGTCCATGTCTATCCACCAAGCGTTTCGTCCTCACCCGCACCCATCTGCGCCGGCGCACAAACGAATGAAACCACGGATGCGACCCATGCCACGCCGTCGACTTGAACGAGAACGAATACTGCCATCCCTGGTCGTCCACGTCGCCGGACATATCGACGTACCAGGACCGCCACGCCCACACCCAGCTGGGATCGGGCACTTGCGCGTTCGTGATGTCCACGGGACTGTCGCGCAAATCGCCGGTCTGCCAGGCGGAGGGGTCGAAGTTGAGCAGGGAGCTGTGCGAGTAGAGCGGGATGCCGAAGAAGAACCACCCGCGTTGGTTTTCGTAGAGGATGTCGAGCTCGGTGTTGGGTTTTAGGCCGGTGAGTTTGGGGGCGTTAGCCCCTGTAGTTGTAGTGGTGGTGTGGGTGGTGAGGAGGGTGTTGCTTTCTGGGGCGAAATCCGTGGCGCTTACATCCTGCGAAGGGGGTGAGGGCTGCTGTTGTTGGCTTGCGCTGTCACTTCGACTTTGGTATTGTGAGGGGGGAGGGCTCGTGGTGGTTGCTGTTTCTGTAGTAAAGAGGTCTGATATTTCTGGTCTTTCGGAGGGTCGTCTGCTGGATGACGGTATGCCTTCCTCCTCTTCATTGTTGTTGTTGTAGTTGGTATTGTCTTCATCATCGGTCGTAAGCCCCAATCGATCCGGTTGCCATTTAGCGTACTTGCGCTTCTTCAGCTCGCCGCGAATTGACCTTTTCGTCCATTTCCGGGAGACGTGGCTGCCGCCGTTTGGTGTAGCGGTGGGAGCTTCCGAATGGCGGCGACGGGGCGCAGTGTTATCGATGAGGGCGATAGAGCTGGCAGTTGTATTGGAGTGGTCGATGTCCATTGTAGGTGGCTGCCTGCCTGCCTTACCATCTACTGTATCAGAAGCTGAGACCGAATCTTAAAGTAAATATAAAATATAAATAAAGTAGAAAAAGGGATCCGATCATCGCAGCGACAATAAGGCCATCATTCCGCAGGGATAGAAGTAAATGAATAAGTGTTGTATGTGAGACAAGACAAACAACTAAGTAAGTGACTAGACTAGTTGGAGATTAAAAGGGGACTCTCTCCAATTAGAATAAGTAATAATGGGAGCCTGCACGAGCAGAGGCTACTATATAAAGCAAAAAGATTTTCTCTCCAATTAAGATTAGAGCCTAGCCCATTGGAATGGTGCGACAAAAACAACCCACCGGAACCTGCCTGGTTGGGAAAAGAAGATGATGATAGGAAAGAAAAAAAGTAGTAGTTCGTTCGTAAAGCAAGGCATGGGAATGGGAACTCACCTTCCCGATTTCGATCAATGATGACATCGTTTGCGGGGCGATCGACGCTGTTTAATGCCTGAGGCAGATATGTTACTCAGTTGTTCCTTGTTGCCTTAGGCAGCAAAGAGGGATAGTTGCTATCGTAAAGTTAGTATCTCCGCATCAAACAATCATCAAACATACTCTACGACGCGTTTCCCCTCCCTCCTCACCATTACTATAACCACTCATACCCCCTCACCCCACCACTACACCAAAGAAATAAAAAACACAAAGAGGAATAGAAAATGTCCACCGACCACCACCGCAAAATCGAACTCCAATCCTCCGCCGACTTCACCTACCTATACGCCAACACCGTCGCGCTCTCCCGAGCAAAACTCGACCTCCACCTACCTCCATCCGCGAACCCCAACGATGGACCGGATCCCATGCGCGAGCGCGTACGAGAATTAGTCGATGAGGTAATACCCTATCCCTTCCCAAATTCCCTCTCTCTCCCATCAACCATACATAATATATCTTAACAATGTCTAACGACATGATAACCTATCCAGTACATAAACCGCACCTTCAACTCCGCCTCCCCCTCCATAAGCATCAACGGACTCGACTCCACATCCCCCGAATGGCCCTTCCCAGCAGCCTTCACAGCGCCCACCGAACAGGTGGAATACGAAGCGTACGACGGGAAACTAGCATCGCGGGTAACATCGCTGTATGCGCAATTGGAGTCGTTGACGACGACGGTGGCGCAGTTGAGACGGGATGCGCCGGGTCGGGCGGCCAAGGCGTATGCGGAGCAGTTGAGGAGGGCGTTGAGGGAGGATGAGGAGGAAGAGAAATTGGAGGATTTGGAAGGGGAGGAGGAGATGAAGGAGGAGGAAGAAGAAGAAGAAGAGCAGAGTGCGGGACAGGATACGGAGATGACTGATGCGGGGTCCACGAGCACAACGACGACGACGACACGGACTCAAAGGAAGGGGCCGATGACGAGGTCGCGGGCGAAATTGGAGATTTCGTTGGGGACGGAGAATGAGGCGGAGAGGTGGCGGAGTGGGGAGATGGCGGAGGTGTATGAGGATGCGTTGCGGACGTTGTTGCGGCTTCAGGGTGAGGGGGTCTCTGTGGATACGAGTGGTGATGGGACGGATGGGAATGCGCTTTCTTCGACGCTGGGGAAGGCCGAGAGGGCTGGACGGGCTGTCGAGGTGGTGGAGAAGAAAAAGAAGGAAGACAAGAAATGAGTGTTTGTTTAGGCTGGTCTGCTTACCACTGCGTTCTTTATTTTCTCTGCTATGGGTTTGGGTTGGCGTTTGCAGGGGTCTTGGGATGATACCAATCCGTTTACAATGTGTTTACAATAATGAAAGATCTGATGCACACGCTCTGCAAAGTTCACTCTAACGCTATATGAGTGTATACCCTGTTTCTACCTAGAGCATCCTGACCACGTAACACTTTTATCCTCTGTCCCCTATTACTGACTGCCCCGGCTCCAATCTATAAAAAGCACCTCGCGCCGCTCATATGGTGTTTGATATCTGACTGCAAAAGGAAAACAAGCACGACCAAAAGCAAAACATATAATAATAGGACCGCGGAATCCCCGAGAACAACTCTCAACAACCCTTCCAGCACGTATCTTGAAATATAAAAGAAAAGTAGACAGGCACCCGCGGAGTACCTCTCCCTAGCAAAACAGTTCTAGAAACAAAAGAAGGGATATAGATCGGCAAGATAGTGCCTGAAGCTTTTACCATATTGATCCAAGATGTAGAACGAAACAGAAACAAAACCGGTTGATGACACAAAGCCTCTATGCGGTGGCCTGAGCCTCAGCCTCCTTCTCGGCAGCAGCCTCAGTAGAAGCCTCAGCAGCAGCCTCCTTCGGGGCAGCCCATTTGGGAGTCTTGGCCCACTCAGACTCCTGCCACGGGCCCATGTCGCTAAGCTCGCAGCCTCCGGCACACTGGCAGGTACCGCCGAACTCAACAGGGAGGTTCTCAGCGGGGACCTGAGCCAGCAGCTCCTTCTTGTAGTTGGAGCCGAGAACGTGGATCTTGTTCACGGTCACCGGGTCAAGGAAGCCCTTGACCACGCTGAACACGCTGCTGAATCCCCAGGGGGCGTTGATCAGGTAAAGCTTGCCCAGACGCTCGGGGTAGTAGTTCTGGGAGATGGCAGACGCCTGCTTGACGTAGCCATAGACGGAGGGGACGCTGGTGATACCGACGCCCTTCAGGTCCATGATGGTGCAGCAAGTCTCGAGCAGCTTACCAGCCTTGCGGGAGCAGGCGGGCAGACGGGGGTCGGCAAGCTTCTCATACTCGGTCACGAGGTTCTGGAGCATGCGCTCGCCGGTGGTGATCTTGTACATGGCATTGAGGTCAATCTTGCCCAACTTCTCGATGTAGACAGGACGGCCATCCTATTTTGGATTCCGATCGTTAGCGTCTCGACCAGTCTAGCGGTGGAGAAAAAGCGGTCTGTTCAAAGTCACGCACCTTGTCCGTTTTGTGGTAGTACTGGGGGTAGTATTCGAAGACCTTGGCCTTCTCGGGGTACTCGAAAGTACGGACGAGCTCATCAGTGCCGAACTCCTTCCGCCACTTCTCGCAGTCGACGAACCTTTATTTCCAGAAATGGATGTTAGCGCACGCTTCGAAAGTTTCAGGTTTCCATAATCACAGTGCATAGCATCTCGCAACAAAGTCTCCGTGAAACAGGAGACAATTATAAAAGACAGAGACTTTCAACTCCGTTTTTCCAGTAGCATCCGCTTACGCGTAGGCTCCAGCAACAGACGCTAGTCGTCACATCATAATCAGGGAACAAAAACGTACATGGTCTTGGCAGCAGCGACATCAAACTTCCGGGCTCTCAGGAAACGCAACAGCGTCAGAGTATCCAGCCTCTCGGTGTAGCCAAGCTGTTCCAGCTCGGCCCGGAGCTGTTCTACCTTCGCATCCTGCTCGGGGGTGGTGTGGCCAGGGTGGCCGGGTTGGTCTTCCGGCGCAGTGGTCGGGAAGTCATAGTCATCGTACTTGGACGGAGCCGCCATTGTGAAGGTGATGGTGGATGAAGAGGGTTGGAGGAAAGGAAGAGGAGGGGAGAGTTAAGAGAAAGTTAAAGACCCGAAGGCGGGATGAGTTGATGGTCAAAAGGGAGGAGGAGGCAAGAGGAGAGGAGAGAGAGGGGAGTGGGGAGGGACAATTAAGCGGGATGTCGCAGATAGCAGCGGTTAAGGGGAAGGAGAAGAGGAGGAGGAACAACTGCCTAGAATATTGATCAACTAAAACTGGAAATTAACCTAGAGGCGGAGAGAGAAAGAGGCAAAAAAAAAAAAAAAGCCAGAAGGGCGAGAAAGAAATGAGACGGCGGACGGAAACAGCCAAACTCAGACGGGAATCCAAACCAAGTCGAACTCACTGCAACTTTCCTTCTACTACTGAAGGTTGACCACTCACTACTTCTTACTCACTGCCTAGTTGTCTGGCCTGTCAAGTGGCAGCAGTCGGCCTGAATTGCGTGCCTGAAAAAACCGAACGGTGGCGCGTAAAGCCGTCAACCTTCCATTCCCCCCCCCCCCCCCCCTCCCCCCCCCCCCCCCCCCCCCCCCCCCCCCCCCCCCCCCCCCCTTCTTTACGGACTACTCTTGAGGCGTCATGCGTGGCTGCACCTGTTTCATTATCGATCCAATTTACTTTGTTGATTAGGACACATCCTGCTTCATGATCATCATTCTCACTATTCTCACTGAGACCCCTCACAACCCCTGGTTTGCGACCACCTAATCCTCTCCTTTGCCAATGCGCCCTTTCGTTTCAGGGCGGTCGCGCCGTTGCCATTCTGCGTCCCGGCGGCAGTGACGTAGGTGTCTGGACCAATGCTGGTGGGTGTCTGGGCAACTTGGCCGAATATCACTCGGCGGAAATTGCTAGTCAGATATCCCCGACGATCGCTAATTTACATTGACTGATTTGAACAGCCCAGGTCGATCATCTTACAGTCAGAAGAATCGCAGAATCCTAAACAATGTCCGGTGTTGCAGACTGCTCGTGGCCTAGACACCAGAGCATCATCCTCATTAAAAGCCATATGATATATGATTCCGGGGAAACACAACGCTAAATCCAAGGCATACTGGTACATATAAACACAGGGTAACATGACAGCCGGCCTCACCAGAGCCGCTGAGCAACACAGCGCACCAATCTCATCAAACCGTACTGACCCAATAAAAGAAACAGTCAAAGCGCAATATCATTCAACGGGGTATAGCCGTCGCAAGGACAAAACGAAAAGCAACACTGCTCAGAAAACCCGGCTCATGACCACTCACCCCCGAGCCAGCGAGGGAAGAGTCCAGGACCACACGCTTGGGGATTAACAGAGCTGGTCGCCCCACCACATTACTGCCCCGCATAGGAGCCCTATCTTAACAAAATCGGCAAAACGAAAACAAGAAAACGCAACTCATCTTATGCATCCATGGTCGACCCGCACCACGTCTGGGTGGGAAGCCGCATGGTGAAGTGTACAAATCAATCGTCCGTCCCCAGGTCATAACGTAGAATAGACGATCCAAACAGATAGCACGGCCACGGCCTTCGGGACATGTTGGCGTATATCCAATACCAATTGTCGTTCATCAAATTGGCGGCATAGTAGCCAAGACCAAAGGCTGGCCTGTCTTGAGGCTTGCCGGTGACTATCCGCTCCGTTTCATAGACGTCGTGATAGAGTGTAAAAGAGAGGCCATAGGTGCGGTCTCTCTACCACCCTTTCTTTCGTGCAAATCGTTTGTTCAAGAGTAGAAGCACCTTTGAGACATTGAATTGGACGTACTCCAGATCCAAGTCCTCCTGGTTGTCCTTTTGCATTTCGAGCAGATCATCGAGCTTGAGATCCAGCTCCAGAAGACCACGAGCACGGCCTGGCATAGTTGGTTAGTTAAGATGGGAATGAAAAGGGTTAGATTCACGGCGTACCTTTGTAATGCAGGCTGATGACAAAAGTGCCTGGCAAAGGACTCTTGAACATAAAGTAGATGTTGGCCCTTCGGTTCTCTGGAACGTTACTCTTGCGAATGACACCTTCCTTTTCGAGCTGCTGGTGTGTAAACTTGTACGGTCCGAGCTCCTGGTGCTTCTGCTGTTTCCGCTGCTTGCCCTCGGACTGACTGCGGACGTTGTGAAGATACGACTTGTACGTTTCCAACTGACCCACCAAGTATGCATTGTGATCGCGTATGGTGGCAAAGACTTCTTCCAGTTTCTTCGTCTCCTTCAGGACATTCTCCTTCAAGCCGCCCAGGTACGCTAGTTCCTGTTCAACCTCATCACGCAGGAGACTGAAGTCATCGGCACGTTCGATGACGCCCAACTTCATCAATTGATCGAGCAGTTCTATAGTGCGGATTCCTTTCCGGACCATCACCGCATCGTTCTTGAGGGTTGCAGCACTCTCCGCAATGAGATATAGCCGTAGCGGACGACGCATTGCCGGGTGTTTGGGAGGGAGAGACCGCAAAATCTGGACGAAGGTGGATTTGGCCTCCATAAAGAAGACTTCTTCTTGGGTGATATCCAAGGCCGCGGTCAAATCATCAAGAGACGTCTCCCAGCGGCTAAACAAGGGCACGGTGATGGTCCTGTTTTCCTTTCGGGGGACCTGTGGTGGCGCAGAACCAAGCTCCTGCAGGATTTCATTGAGATGGGAGTGCTGGTCCTGGGCCAAAGCCAAGCTGTGCTTCTCCAGCAGGGCGTGTGTGGCGTACATCTCGTTCAGGGTAATCTGCAACTCGAGGTCTCGCTTCGAGAGCGCGACGTAGTTGTCCATCTCTAAGCTCTCATAGAAATCTTGCACATCACACAGATCGAGCATGAACTTGTTCACACGTTCCTTGTTCTGCTGGATAAAAGGCTGAAGTTTCGCCATGTACGGCTCCTTGGCGTACGAAGGTTTGTTGGCCAAATTTTGAAGCATCTTCGCGATAAGGGTCAACGTCCGGCGGGGTTTCTCCGTGGGCGTCGATTCAATCAACATATACGATCGAGGCGTGACAATAGCGGGATTGATGAAGCGAAGGAAGAAGAATCCTCCGATCAGGGTACAGATGGTCTGATCTTGAGCGTCCGGGTACTTGCGTCGGGACAAACTTCTGATCTGCTTGCATATCCACCGAATGCCGTACGGTGTCTCTTCCACGGACTCGATGATTATGTTCAAAAATCGGTTGGCATAGTCGGTGAGCATCTTCAATCGCGGTTCAATAATGGCCTGCACCTGCGCATTTGCCGCTGCATCTTCCGCCGTGACAGATCTCTGAAGACTTTCTGGCAACGAGCCCTGCTCCTCTTCGATCTGTTTCACCATGGTTTCATACACTTTGAGGGGGTTGATCTCCAAGTCGACGTCGCGCAGCTCGATCAGGGCATTGATCTGGTTGGCAAGGACTTGTTTCAGGTAACTCTGACCAGGACCGCGCCGGGTGTAGGTGGTCATCATGCGGGAAACAGGGGTGTTCTGGCGCAAGAGTGACGAATATTCCGGGGTGTTGTCGAACTGATAGGTGAGGACAGACTGAAACATGGTAAGTAGCAGATGTTCTTCACGACTCTCATACTGGTTTCCGTAAATAGTAAACATCACGGTTTGCAGGAGGGAGTCGATCTCGGACATGGAGACTAGGCGGCACAGGTGGGCGATGTGACGGGGTTCGGACTGGAGAAGGAAGAGAAGATTGCCGTACTTCTGTGTTCGCTCATCGTTAGGAAAGAATCCCTCCTGGGGATCTATAGCATCGTCGAGGTGGCTGGCAACTTCGTTTTGCTGGTACTGTTAGGAACTACCCATGCAAGACAGACGGATCAATTCTTACTTCTTCCAGAGCCATACGGTTTTGGATCAGCAGGGCAATCCGTGAATCCAAATACCGCACATCTTTTTCCAGGACGAAGTTCTTCTTTGATTGCGTTGAAATCTTCGCCTTCAGTTCGCGCAGATATATTTGAGCTGTCGCATAAAATGTCAGCAAGCGTGTCCAAGTTCAAATAAATCCCACCCAAATCCAGTGACTAACCTCTCGCCAGATCGTCTGATATATCCAAATCCCTGTCCTTAGCATTCATGGACATGTACAGCGCAGTGACTGACAGCCGCTTCGACTGGCGGAGGGACCGCGTATCGTGAGAAGACATGGTGTTTTGGCGTGTGACAGGTTGAAAGGAAGAAGACGATGAAGTCGAGGCTCTCGAAGCGGGTTGTAGCATTGTAGCAACGGACATTATGTGCAAGAAATGAGCGTATAGAGGTGTGCTGGGATCGAGCAGCACACGATTGGGCGTTCAGGCGCGATATATGCGGGCGAACAATCAACCACACCGATACTTGACACCTTCGATATCGCGATTATGACAATTCGGCTGTGATCGCAGATTTTGTCTTTAATAACCACTGATCATTTGGAACAAGACAAGCGAGTGCAGCGACGCAACGCAGGTGTTCCAAAACCCCCTTATCGGACGTGTGGAAAGGCTGTAGCTGTAGAGGCGAATGAGCGATCGGAGCGAGCTTTGTGCACGGTTGGTGAGTTTAACGGTGTTGGCAACCTCGAGACGTGGACGCCGCTAGTCGCGTAAGAGAAGGAGTAAAATTAGGATGGAGAAAAAGTAAAGGGCGATCGGAATGGAGGATTATCGTGTAGCGGAGCGCGATGGATGCGATCAACAGGAGGCGTCTCAGATACTGCCCGGCGGTTATAAGGGTTAACTTGGGGAGCAGCAAAGATAGGCGGTGGGAATAATTCCGAATCGGAGAGGGACGGAGGAGTTGAAGAGGAGATTAAAGAGAGATAGATGGGTTGTGTGGTATGGAAGAGGAAATTTCCCGCTGCCGAAGAAGGAAGGAGGCGCAAGGCAAGGATGGAGAGGATTAATTTAATGATTGATGGAGAGAGTTGGTGGAAAGAGAGAGACTGGAGAGAGGGGAGGGAGGCAGGAGGAAAGATGCCGGTCGGATGCAAAGGAAAATCAATCAGGGCAACTTACTAACCAACAG